AACTTTCACTCAGGAGCCTGCAAAACAGACACATCAATGTCCTCATCCGTTCATCACTTTCGTCACATTTTCCATCCCTGGTGTGTTTACAGGTTACCACCGTCTGGCTAAAAATCACTCAGCCGCTAGAGAGAAGTAAAACCTCAAACCTGCAACTTAAGGGGAAAAAAACTTTCTCTTTTATTTCCAGAATCTTGTCTTCTTATTCAGATGAAAATGTTGCCACCTTGCCATTATGCGGAGGGGTAAAATCCCAAGAGAAATCCGTAATGAATGTTTACAGGATAAATTCACCAACAGTCCTGCACGAGAGATGATTCCAAACCTCCTGTGGTCCGTGTCAAAGTGCTCTCACCTATTAACTCTGTTTCTTCCTGACCCTGTTAGGCACTACCAGCTGAAATTAATAAGGATTAATTTTTCATTTTTAAAAAGTAGGAGGTAAAAAACACCCAAACAAGAAGAAATTATATTTTAATTTCTGTGCAACTCTTTTCTCTTTTTAAAATAGTAGCTGCTGGCTGGGCTCGATGGCTTACCCCTGTGATCCCTGTACTCTGGGAGGTCAAGGAGGGTGGATTGCTTGAGCTCAGGTGTTCAAGACCAGCTGGAACAAGAACAAGACTCTCTCTCTACTAAAAATAAAATAAAGTTAACTGGGTGTGGTGGCAAGTGCCTGCAGTCCCAGCCACTTGGGAGGCTAAGGCAGGAGGATCACTTGAGCCCAGGAGTTTGAGGTTGCTGTGAGCTGTGACATCATAGCACTCTAGCCTGGTGACAGAGTGAGACTCTGTCTCAAAAAAAGAAAAAGAAAAAGAAAAAAATATTAGCTGCTGTCTTACCAAACCCTTTGCCACAGAAGGAGATTAAATAGCCCATTTATAACCGTTACCTGCTTCTTTATGTGATTAAAAAAAAAATAGGTGGGCAGCACCTGTGGTTCAAAGGAGTAGGGCACCAGCCCCATATGCCAGAGGTGGTGGGTTCAAACCCAGCCCCGGCCAAAGAAAAAAAAAAAACTGCAAAAATATATATACATATAGTGCACAAGTATATCTCCATAATACAGTTTTCTTGAATGCATGTTTAAATTGATATCAATGTTGTTGTTTTTTTTTAACTGGGGGTGCTTTTCACCAGCCTTGTGTTTTTAAACTGCCTCTTGTGGTTTGGGGGTGTATTCTCACCCATGTTGCAGACATAATTCATTCATGTCGATGGTGCATTGACTAAGGTGCCCACGATGATGTAATTAAGGAACATTTCATGTCCTCTGTTGCAAACCATTCTGCCACTCTCCCAACCCTCCCTTCCTCCCTCCTTCCCTCCTTCCTTCTTTCCTTCCT